AAATCGAAATTTCCACGAAGTTCAACATTCATTATCCTCAACCCACCGAAGTTAACATGCATGAAAATTTAGAAATACAGAGTGAAAATCTTAAGCAACATATGGAAAATGACGAGGGCCATGACGATTTGGACTTGATTTAGATTACACTTGGATTTGGATGATCACGATGCAAAGATGAGCTGCTACCATCATGAGCTCAGACTATGTTGTGAACAGATGGTGAGAAGCGACAAAGACAGGATCAGATCATGATATGATGATGACGAAAATATAACGCTAATATGCTGATAATTATGATGGCACTCATGAAGTATGAAGAGGATGATAGGCGTGCGTTGTGATGAAGATCGTCAATGAAGATGTTGATGGAACAACGACGATGATGATGAGACAGTCCAAGCTACTGATATGGAAGTGTCATAAATCTACTGAAATCAGTTTGAACATGTGCTGATCACACCAGAAAAACCTACTAAAAGCAAATTCCCACGAACATAAACTATCTACGAAACAACTGTCCTGACTCAGTTGAAGCTTTGAGGCAAAAATGCTGAAATATTTGGAAAACAATTCTGTTTATACTTTAGCCTTCACACACAAAGATAGAAAGAGAGCCTGGGAAGTAAACGAAGAAATTTCAACGACTCAAGACATTGCGACACAGAAGATGATGAAAGCTGCAGATACACTGAGCTCATGGAACCTCATCCGGACAGCAACACATATACCAGTATAAGAAACGTCGCACACCTCCTGCAAATACAAACTTGGACCCAAATCCAATCAGCCGAACTGAAACTTCACTGGACTGGTCTTCGCTGACTGAACCTGGACTAACTTCTCCAATCTTGGTCTTTATGGAAGTTCTCCCTCTGATATTACGAGTACGAAGATACCCATGAAGAACCTCATGAGACAACTGGATGATAAGTGACTCGTGGGCACAAAGCTACATCACCACTGGACTTGATTTTTTCACTCTCTGCATTTTTTTTTTTTTTTCTTTTTTCTTTCTTTCAGATTCACCCCCAGGCGGAGAACGCCCCGCAAGGCAGAATGGCTGTGGTAAATTCATCCATAACTCGTCCGCCTTTCCTAAATCTGGCAAAGCAACAACCAGCGAGATCTTCTTCAAGCTCCGTGAAGGAAATGGACACTTGCATCCGAGATTATGTGAGAACGGCGTTGGAGGTGAGACCCTGCCGCGAGAACATTGATTGATGAAGCGATTCTGTTTCATGATGAACTTTTATCTTACTTCCTTCACACTGTAAATACCACAATCATGTTTATTCTTTCATCATTAAATACCTTAAAATGCTACTGCCGCTTCCTCTATTTAATCTAACCTCATCATACATAATAGAACGCGAAAGAATCTTCATAAAGAGGAAAGAGTTGAAACTGAATACAGGATAGCTTGTGAATATGGAATAGATTACCTTGGCAAATCGAAGATCAATAGAATATTTAGAAATAGAAAATGTATTAAATAAATGAGATGCCATCTAATTCTTCTATTATAGTTAGGGTAGAGAACACAAATACAAATGACGCTAAACTTCCGTAACTAACCATAAATAAATTTTAAAGATTATATATGTGAATTTCAAAGTTTTTGAGCTCAATACGAATCTGCTATACATAAAAACTCTGTTTTAAAGGATGTATTTATTACCTCAAATCTTTACTAATGGACACAGTTTTAATGTCAATAAAGGGATTACCAATAGTTGCCGGAAATTACGCTAAGGCAATAAATATTGATTTTGATTTTGTGTTTTGATTCCTTTTCTTCCAATATACATCCAAGCCGGAATCGGATGCATTAAAAGCTCTGGCTGAAATTTTCTTTAAAAAAGGCCCTCTTGGAAAAGCTGTCAAAATGGCAAAACGAATGGGATTACGGTGCAACAGGAAGACGAACTATGACTTTATGCCAAAAGTTTCAGCTCAACGCTTTACAGCCGTTCCGCAGCTAACATATTTTGTATCAAGTCATGGCTCATTTCCTGTACGTTTCCATAGGTTCAATATCGCAGAAACAAACCGCAGTGGCTAATCGCACCAACGGTGCGAATAGCTAAGAGGCTATTCACACCACCTACGCTGCCGCATGCGCACAATAAGCTCAGGGTACAGCATTTTACGCCGATTTCATATAAGGCAGGCTGTAGCGAGAGCGGGCCGCTGCTGTTCGCACCGCCGGTACGGTTAGCCGCTTAAGCTATTCGCACCAAAATTAACCAGGCATGCGCATTTGAGTTGTCAAAGGCGGGTTTCTACCTTGGCGTAGTTTATCATTTTTTTAAGCGTTGGCCACTTTCAAAAGTTTAAAAAGGAAAATGGGTTCCTTTTCTTTTTTTTTTTTTTAAAAGGAACACATTTCCTTTTATTATTAAAGTATATATAAAAAAGGGCAGATTTTATGTCGCAAGTTATCCTTTTCCTGAATGGTGAATAGTTTAAATGACTGATTTGAAGGGGGGGGCAAAATCGTGTGACATTTTTATACTTCTTAGAATACATTTAGCTTTAAGATGTGTTTTGCTCAATCAGACCTTTAATTCATTCCTCTTGAAAAATTTCGCCGAAAGATATTAAAAATTAGACAGCGGTTTCTGTAGAAAATTTAGACAGAAATAATTAAAAGAGTTATATGAACTATAAGAATTATTCTGTATGCTGCTTTTTTTTTTTTTTTTTTTTTTATGGAAATACTTGGCATTTTCAGGACACAAAAAGTGCTTCAAGAACTTTGAAATATTATACAACACATTAATGAAATGAAATAAATAATGGGATGTAATTTAAAAGACAGAAATAATTTAATTAAGAGATTTAGATTAAAAATTGCCCACACTGGTTTAGATTTTGTAAGCTTTTTCATAATACTTTGATTTTGAAATATGGCATTTGAACCTATAAACTTGTGTGGAACTGAAAAAGTGATGAATATATAAGAATATCTCATTTCAGTAAGTTTTCTATTGAATAATAAATTCTGACAGTCCTATGCCTATAAAATAGGGTCTAAATTGCATAAAAAATCTGTTAAATAAAAGAATTTAATAATTTCTGCAGCCTTTTTGTCAATACATTAAAGATTTTTTATCTAATTACACATCCTCCCTTGCAAATAGAACCATCATTAAATCCCTATTTTATCTGATCATTTCCTGAATATTATCATGTACATAGATTGACTTCGTCTTTGAAACCGATAATTATTACTTGCAAATTATTCTCTTGTTGGTGAACAGTTAACAACCCTTTCTATTGCTGGGTTAACAATCTTCGCTCTCACTACCGTCTACTTTACGGAAATCGGCGTAAAATGCTGGTACCTGGGCTGATTGTGCCCATGCGCGCACGTTGCTGGTGTGAATAGCTTCTTGCCTATTCGCACCGTGAGTGCGATTAGCCACGGCGGCGAGGAGCGAAGGTTGTTAACCCAAATCAGCAATAGAAAGGGTTGTAAAGTTCACAGCAAAGAATAATTTGCTGTAATAATTATCAGTTACAAAGACGAGTCAATCCATATACATAATATTCAGGAAATGATTAGATAAAATAGGGATTTAATGATGTTCTAATTGCCACGAGGCGTGTAATTAGTAAAAAAATTATTATGTTGACAAAAGGCTACAGAAATTCTTAATGCTTTTATTTAACTGAAGAATTTTTAGCACTTTAGACACTAGTCTTATAGCATAGGAATGCCAGATTTTTATTCAATAATAAAACTTACTAAACATATAATATTCTTATAAATCATCACTTTTTATTTTTATAATCAACACATGTTTATAGGTTCAAATGCCATATTCAAAATCAAATTATTTATGAAATAACTTATAAAATCTGATTAATCGTTGTGCAATTTTAAATCTAAATCTTTACCTTAAATTATTTCTGTCTTTTAATGCATCCCATTATTATTTCAATTTAATTTATGATGTGGTTTTTAATATTTCAAAGTTCTTTGAAATACGTTTTGTTTGGAATACTTATGTCCTAAAAATGCCAAGTATTTCCATAAAAAAATAAACAGGCATACAAAATTGTTAATAACCAGTGTTATATGATTAATTATTCACATAATAGTTGATTTAATCGCTTTTAACTTATTTGATGTCTAAATTTTCTATACAGAAATCATCTGTCTAATTTTTATTATCTTTTCTCAGACAATTTTTAAAGAGGATACGAATTAAAGTCTTGATTGTTCAAAACACATCTTTAAAGCTAAATATATTCTAAGAAGTACAAAAAATGTACACAAAATTTTGTCCCCCCCCCAATCAGTCATTTTAATTATTCCAACCGTTCAGGAAAACGATAAACATTGTGACCATAAAAATCTGCTCCTTTATATATATATATATACTTTAATAAAAGGAAATGTGTTCCTTCTTTTAATATATATGTAAGAAAAGGAACCCATTTTCCTTTCTAACATAATTTGAATGTCAATGCACTTGGATAACAGCTTGCTCATAAAGAGTAAATACTTACCATGTTACACTCTTCTGGGAGTTTCATCCTCTCATATTTTGCATCAGGACAGAAAACCAAAACCAATGAATTTTAATCAGTTTCATGTAATTATTTTTTCAAATAATTTGCTAATGCATTGGAAATAGGCAAAAGGTTTGCTTATTCCTTCATTTGTTGCCACTGTTAATCTTGTATCAGATTTTCATGCACTGCAGATATGAAATACACTTAAATTTCAAATTCAAAATTAGGCAAAATTCAACTCTTCATTAATCATAGTTTCCACAGAAAATATTTAAGATTTAATTCTTGAAAAATCCATAACACAGCCTGTCTGTGCAAATTAACATACATAATATCCCTTGAAATGAAAGTTTTCCTACAAAACCAAAATCAGTTTAAAGTTAGAATTTTGCCTAATTTTATATTCCTGATTACTTTCTCTTATCTCACTAAGTTCTTCCACCAAACAGCATAAAATAAAACAAAGCTGCAAATAGCATGGTATAATTTATTACACACAAAATCTAATCAACAATAGCTGCTTCATCCAAAAAGTTGAAGGCATATAAAGAAAGCAGCATAGTAATGAAAATACAATTTCAAATCCAATTTCTCAACAATTAATGTATAAGCACCATTTGTCATTGTATAAATGCAAACAACTTCAGAGGACAAACATGAACTCTACAAGATTTTTATATAATTGTTAAATCAGCTTATCAATGAGAAACATGCATTCATATGCTTCCCAAACACATATTACAGAATAGTAACAAAGAGCTCTTAAATCTGACAAACATGATTAAAAAAAGAAATGAGTTTTGCTACAGCAAATGGATCAGCAAGAGCAGGTATAATACACAAATCCATATCTTTATATATTAAAAAAAATGTATCAGTTAATCTAAGCTATATTTCAAAATACTTAAAAAAAGCTTAATTAATTATTCATTCAATTCAGCGTCTTTGAAATCAAAGCTCATTAAATATGCATATGTTGAAATGTCTTGCTCACTTTGATATAGCTGCACAGAAAATTTGATGTACTCAAATAAATGTGTTTACAGAAACAAATTCTATTTTAACCAACATAAACGAGTAGGAGATCAGCCAATTTCAGTGCCAGCTAGGAAAAGAGTATTAGGAAATGAAATTACACCTGCGAATAGAGTCCAGAATTTAAGGCAAAAATATTTGATATCCTGTTAATAGAGTCAAAAGCTAATTTTAAAAAATCATTTCCTAACATTGCATATAAGAATGCTTAACATTATTTCAATTACGTGTACCTCTTTTCTAATACACAGAAAAAAAAAACTGAGCATGGGACAATTTCTGCATATAAGCAAAAAATACAGCTGCCTACCTTTATTCATTCATAACGCACTACAAGCTTAATTCAAACACATTCAAAAAGCAATATAATATAACAACAAATACATTAAAATATCTCAAAGAGGATATTCTGCCTGCAATTTAATGAACGCCCCTCCCCCCAAAAAAACTTTTAGTTTTAAACTACACTTACTTTTAAAAAGAAATGGGGTTTTTATTAAGGCCACACTTCAGTTTTTTATTACACAGTCATATTAGAACTTAGAAAATATAATGCCAACCCTTTGTTGCATTAATATGCATTTAAAATATTGTCATGCAGATCTCAATTACAATACTTGACTGTTCTGAACAAAATGAAAGTACATCACACATATAACAAGTTTTGAAATGATGAAATATATTTAACGTTATCATCAATATGATCATATTAGCATAGAATGCTTTATTTTAAATTTGAAAATACAAATGAAAAAAACTTTACATAGACTCTTCCCTTGTGTGCAAGGAATAGCTATCTATTTTATTTACAGATCGATAAACGATAAACAGTTATTTAACCCAAGGGATACTGCATAAAATAATCTCCCTTTTCCCTAAAATACTACAATGGACACAGTTGTTTTATTCATTTCAGCACTTTAATGAATGAGAGATCAATAGGGTTAATTCTTATCAATATTTTAAACTAGAACAATAAAATTTTTTAATTTAGAGAAATTATTATTTTTGGCACATAGCAAAACATTTTTCAAGAAATGAACAATTTTTAGCCTGTTTGCCAATGAATAAAAATATTTATCTTCACATTTAGTGAAAAACAGATTAATTCTGTTTTGTTTTAATAGAATGTTATAAATAACAAAAATAAGGAAGGTTGTTAAATACCCTGCAGTTTGATAAATTTTTGAAATTAAAAATTAAAATGTTGCTATAGCATGTATTTTCAAAAACTTTTAAAACTGAGAAATTTGCATACATACTTTGGGTTGATTCTATTCAAAAGCAATATTATTATCAAGTTAAATATAAGTGATTTCATTAATTTTACGAAAGATGTAGAAACATGATATTGATGAAAAGCATAAATATTGCTAATTCCTATAAGCTACATATTTTAAACTTCGGCAAATAAGAGAATATTATGTTTAAAATCATAAGTATTCTACTCTAATGCAAAAGTATAGTACTTGAATGAGTATACTGATTTCTGAAATTTCTTAGTCAAATGCATTTAATTTTTATGCAGAAATATTTGCGGTATTTTCTTTAATTCCTTATGCCTAAATCTCTGGACTCTATACAAATGTTAATTTTTCAGAAATGGATTCCATATATTACACATCACACATGATGATACAAAAACTGTACATATGAATAAAAATTTCTTCAAACACAAAGAATTTTAATTTTGACAAATAAAAACAGCAGGTTGTAATTTATAAATGAAAAATTCACAGATATTCTTTACTGATGCAGTATGATTTAAACAGACTTACAAGGAATGACAGTGCGAGTATTTCAAAATAATTTAAAAACCAGTATTCCAAAGATAAGATTTAAAACTGCATAGAAAAACAGTGATTTCACATCACTTCTTTGACGCACTGTTTTGAGGTCATCTACTACCAAAGACATGGTTCTTTACATGTCATAATAAGCCATGTCATATTTTAATATCCAATTCTGAGATGATAGGAAGTTCCATTTTGATTTTGTACAACATGTAAAGAAAATTATATGGATGAACACATAACATGATTTGATCAAACTCTTAACACCACACATTCTGATATGTTTATGAAAACGCATTCAGAGAAACTGAGCAGTCATGAAAATGTAGAGATTCAAAATGAGATTCCTGATTCAAGAAAATAAAGGTTTATAAAATAAAAAAGTTTGATATAATAAATGTAACACATTTTAAGCAAAATCCACAATTACAAATGTATAAAAATATTACATTAAAAAATTACTTTTTAAAACAAAAAATGTTAAAAATGAAGTTTTTAAACATTAAAACTGAAAACCAATTCAAAGATAGACATAAAAATTATACATCAGAAAATTTGAAAAACTGATGTCTTCACATGAATGTAATAAGTTTTCCAGCTTGAAAATAAAGGATTTTCCTCTTTTCTCAGAAAACTGAATTACTCAATCACTATTTCTTACACTATACTCACCATAAATCTTAGAATACCCCCAAATAGTTAGCAAAAGCATTTCTCTTACAAATATTTACTAACAATTCAGGCTCCCAAAGCTACATCAGCGGCATAGCACATCCATATCACATCCTAAATATTTTAGTTATTCATATATTGACATAACAGCAATTTTATTCCTGTAACAGTAAATAGTTTCTAAAAGCAATTTTCAATAAAGCTTTACAGTTTTCACATCACGAAATTCTTGCATAAATATTTCAATTCCGAAACTCTAAAAATGCAGGTACTTTTTTTCACAACAAATCTTATAAGGCAGGTAGGTTACTGCTAAATTGATATTTTTAATTTAGTACACAGGAAAGGAAACCACAGTATAATAAATTCACTTAACACAGCAGTTAAAATGTAGTTTGAACTTTTCATACACATATAGAAATATACATTCTTAAAATATAGGAAATATTTGATGGTCAACAACATATCAGATCAAAGAACAAAAGAAAATACTGTTTTTTCAAAGCTGAAAAGCTCGATAAAAGAATACGATGTTTAAAATAAGAGAGGGAAACTACCATGCACCCATGACTTAAAATGCATTAATATATTAAATATCATAATTTTTATTCAGCTATGAATATTCCCATCCCTATTTATGATTTTTGATGCACTGATTGTCCTTCCACTGATTTGTTGAAAAACCTACAGTTTTTCATTTTTTACTTGAAGCATTATTATAATATGATTCATAAAATATCTCTTTCCACGCCAGGTTTAAGTAAAGTTAGCATTCTCAAATAAAATGAATATTTAGATTTAAGTAAAATTACAAGATATGTGTTAATAATGCATAATTTTAGTTTCTAAAATATGTTGCATTTACGAATTGCAATATACATTATTTCCAAATATATGCTTATATTAAATTCTTTAAAACAAATGGATTAAATTTTCTCTTAAAATTTTGCTAAACACTCACATACATTTTCAAACAGCATTTATTCAGAAAAATAAACAAGCAGCTTTGAAGTTGCATTTAATTTGTGGGTTAAAAGAATAAAGTAACAAATCAATATCTCCATAAAAAAAACGTAATATTAGAATAATACCACCTTACTGTTGAAACAGAGATTTTTAGCTGTGAAATTTAATTAAAAGGAACAAAAAATTAAATGCCACATTAAACAGTACAAATGTGGCCCATCTACTACATTTAACAACACCATGCATTTTCAAGCAAAAGAGGAATATCTTAATTTCCTTTTACATGGTAAGAAGATATATTTCATACATAGATTACCATAGCAAAGTAAATGATATAAAAAAAATTGAGTACATACTTCCATAAATATAGTAGAATTAAAATTACATAACTGAAAATAATTTAATTTACAAAAAAGGAAAAAAAAATTACAGGTAACAACTCTGAGAATCAAAACAGGTATTGACTATTACAAACTCATTGTGGATGATGGAATTCTTTAGGTTTAACAAAATCTTCTCCTTTCTAACTCCTTATTGTTGCACCTTTTATGACATCAACCCACCTAAAATAATTAAAAAAACACATATACATTATACATTTACTAACATGCAAAATTATAAGAGACAAGTTTAAAAATAAATTATATGTAATTTCTGAAACATGCTTAAAATCCCAACGTTCTCTTCAAATACTAAAATATTACAAAAGTTTCACAATAATACATTTCTAGACCAGTGTTAGTAAGTTGAAACATTGCAAGGTAAGTAATTATTTTCATAGATAGTAAAAAATAAATATCCTTAAAATAGGGACAGTCAAATCAGACAATTTAAATCGGGGGGAATAGATTCAGTTAAATATCAAATTTTCATATGAAAATTTAAATTTATGATATTCACGAGTGGCAAAAGGAATTCTCAAAACTATCATAATTATAATTATACAACTAAGATGATCTTGTTCCAGTGACAAACAAAAGATTAAGATCAACCCAGCATTGAATTCTAGATTGACAAAGCCTTTTTCTCCACTAAAATCTCCGAGCTGAGGAGAAAAATATATTTTACTCCTTTTCTGGTTATTGCTATTCTAATCTGCAGTCAGAGCAAAGAGGAAGATTTACAAGTTATACACGGATGCATGGACAGAGTATCATTTATGAATTTGACACTCATTTTCTAGTTTAAACTGTTAAAAATATAACATTTTATGCTTCTATCTGAACTGCAATAATAAATTTTAGTACATAAATAAGAACTATATACGCTTCTGGTTTTACATTAAATTATATGGATAATTAAAACACAAATGGGACTTAATCCATTTTCTACTTGGTTCATGCTGTCTCTTCTGCAGCTAAAAAGTAGCATATACAAGATTGCTGACAATAAAATTTGAGTTCTATAATGAATTTTGGCTGAAATGATACAACACTTTCCAAAGAAAAATAAATATTTAGTGTACATGCTTAGATACACATTTAAACATTCTGACAAAAATTATTTCAAGTTTAAAAACTCAACTCAGGCTAATTGTTCGTGCATATTTAAAATTTATTTCTGACATTTTTTCCATAAGAAGTCTTCAATTAATTACATATAAAAAGGAGCTGTAACAATTAATTACATATAAAGAGGAGATATAACTCTTTTAAGCTATTTCTACAAACAGAATGTGCATGGTTATGATGTTCTGATTTTTCTTGACTTAACTTTATCTACCTTTAAAAGCTCTCTTAATTCACCAAGTTTTCTGTTTTATGTTAATGAAACTTTCACATCCTGATGCTTTTTTATTTCTTATAAAATGACATTACTTTTCTTTAGTAAGACAAATACATGAAGCAGTATTTCTACACGGCTAATTCCTTCTTCAGAACCAATTTTAAGTATCACTGGAGAAAAAAAATGCATAATCTTGAATAATATTCTAAAATTGCTCATTCTTATTTTCTGAAATTTTCATTTCAGGGACCTTGCAAAAAACTCAAAGTACTCAAAACATCATAGAGATTTCAGAGCCTTTAATGTTCAACTACCAAAATCTCCCTCCCTTCCTGATTAAAATAATATTTTTCACATTTTGATTTTAAGTGAATATTGAATGAAATCGAAACAGTCTACAACTGACTAACATATTCAATAGCGCTCATATAAGTAAACCTACCAATAATCAAAACTAGACAACATTTTTTTTTTAAATTCTGAAATGACCTTTTTCATTTTTAATTACTCAGACTGACCTTTATGTGTTACCTGGTGAAAGAAACTGGTTAAATGTTTCAAGTCACAATGTCAGAAATATTTATTAACCAGATAAAGATAAATAACGGATACTGTTACTACAGATGCTACCGGTGTCATAAAATTAGCAAGCCTGCTAACTATTATTTCTTTCATCTCCACCGTCACAGTTTTTGCTTCTGTTTGCCTTATCACAATGGAGTATTCAAGGTTACAGTTTACTTCAAATGCAATATTATCAAAATACAGGGGGAACTGAAAAGAATTTTTTACAAAAGTGAAGAAATCAACATCATTCCCATAAGGCATAATGAATGAACTGCTCTAAGTTCATATTGCACTGCCATTTAATAAGCACTGAGGAATCACCAGTTTCTACCCTTCCTTAAAACAATACAGAAGGAAAGGGGAAAAAATCTGGAAATTTACAATTTTAAAATTAGTTGGTTTCTTCTGAATTAAAAGGAACAACATAAAAATTTTCACTTATTTGTAAGTAATGAAATGAATGGCCTAAGATTAAATTGCAGTGGAAAGACTTCAGAATTCTAAATGCATCTAAAGTAGAGAGAAAAGTTAGATGCTTTAGAAGGCCTATAACACAAACTATGAAAAACAATTTTTTTTTAACTGATATGGCAAATTCAACGGCAGAAAATATGGCTAATTATGGGAAAAATTAATATATTTTCCCCATACAAGAGAGACTTATACATTTTTCAATAACTAGGAAGTATTATAATGTCCAGTTTGATTCAGTAAATAAATATTGTAATACCATGCATGAAAAAAATTAGCAAATCTAGTTAACAAAAGTAAAAATATTTACCTTTCAAAAGTATATTCACTTTCAGCTCTAAAAAAGTATACATGATTTTTGAACTGTAACTTGAACACATAATCTTTGTTTATATTATCATGAGGATTTGGCAAGGTAACTGCATAGCCAAGTAATGGAAGGCTAGCTAAGGGAAAGTCATCCTGAAATTCATAGGCAAGAAATAATGAAAAGGAAAATATATTCAAAACAAAAGCATTTAAAAATATAAGAAGCTGGTAAAACTTATGAAAGTTATTTATAATAAAAATTACACCACAATTAAACAAAATACACACAGAATTTATTTTTATGTTAAAAGCACATTCTTCAATTCTCGTTTATATCTAACGAAAAGAAATAAAAATTTTTAGTTCTTTGTGTACATGTAGTTTCTAAACCAAGAATTCAAGTTAATTAAAAAGTAATTAACATCTATAAGACCATAAAAAAGGGCAAAATTAACAAATTTAAGTAGAACTTATAAGTGACACTGACATATTTTAAACTTAAAGAGCATTTTGAAAAATATAATAAAAGAAGCATATTGCAAATGTTGTTGACATTATTAATCTTATTTTCCTGCCCATGCAAACAATTATGGCTTGACGTCTCACAGAAAGAGATTTGGAAAAGATGAAAATGACTGTTTTGTTTGACATAATCTCAATCCCAATGTCTGATTCAATTCAAGTGAATAAAGATATTACTGTCTACAAAGAGTAATATATAGTTCAGACATTAATTATAATAACCAAGGATGATAGAGCTATGTGCAAAAGGAAAACAATGCCCTCATGGAGGATTTCTAATGCAAAATGCTTATATTTATGTTCCCACAAAGAAGCCCCACAAACAACTCATTTAACCTCTACAAACTAGAAATAAACTCTCAAAACTAGGAATAAACTCTAGTTTTACAATTTTTAGACACTCACTTACTGCAACAGTTTGGAATGGATACAGCTCACTTCACAGTAAACGGACTTTTCCAGTTCTGACAATAAGGTTTAAAATATCTTCATTACCAGAAATCAACTGGTGTCAAATCTAAAAACAAAGACCATACGATTCTGGAATGCTTGCTGATAAGTCTGTCTTCAAATATTTTGATCAAAAACTTCTGCACCAGAGATGCAGTGTGAGTGAATGTCCCATACTGCATAAATATGACTCTAGGCAGCATACTGTTGCATGTGCATGGGTTTGTAATAGACTGAATAAACACAGAGCCAATGATAACTGATAAAATTTATTTTACAAAATGGAACACTTATAAAAAAATTACAATAATTTCACTCAAATCATTTATATATATACAAAATTTGCAACATTGCCCCCTTCCCAAGAAATGCATGTCCTGTGAATACAATCCATGTACAGGAAGCCATACTTACTGCTAAGGAAAAATCAGTGCAATACTAAAACAATAATTTCAATAAATAACATAAAACAAATCAAACACTAAAACAATAAATAAACACATAAATTTACAAATATGACCATGATCTTAGTATACTATTTACATTATATACACTATGGGAACTGTGTACTATGGCTATAGTAAACAGCTAGCCTACTGCAATGAACAACTTAGAATTTGCTAACTCATGGCTTTGAACTACGACGTCATTCAGCCTGTCTAGGATTGTGTAAAAACTGTTCCAAGGTAACTGTAGTTTATGAGAATGTCCTTCCAGTGAATCAGATTCCATAACCACAACTTGTCACCTTCACTCAAGTGGTGTCCTGTAGATCTCGTCATATCGGATCTTCAGCTTTTCCCCCGATAAGCTGATTCACTCTCGTGTAAAACTGTGCATCTCTTCAAACAATGCCTGGAGATCTTGAATGTAGTCCTCAGGTGATGAAGGGGCATCTGGAGGGTGAGCAAATAACAGTTCACAAGGCAGATGAAGGTCACAACCGAAGAACATCTGCAATGGGGAATAACTGGTAATCTCGTGGACAGCACAGTGATAGGCCAGTAAAAAAAGTGGTAACTTCTGGTCCCAGTCCTGTTGGTTTCTGGAAATTGTCGGCAAGAAGTTATTGAAGACAGTTCAATTAAACCTCGCTACCATGCTGCCTGATTAGGGATGTAAAGGTATCATTTGGGTTTTGTTGATGCCGAGCGGCTTGCAGTTGTTTAAATACAGGCTAAGGTAAAATTTTTTCTTTGATTGAAAAGTAACTGAAGAGGCACTCCGAACCTGAAAATCCAATGCTGTATCATTTTGCTACCATGACATCCTTTTGATCAGAAATAGGACATGCTTCAGACCACTTTGTGACGTAGTCAATGACAATGAGGGTGCATTTGTTGCCATCAGCAGTTTGTGGCAGGATGTCAAAGGTGACGTGTTCAAAAGGCGCTTCTACATTGTAACGTTGCAGTTTCCCTCAGCTGCATTTCTTCGATCCTTTCCAAACTGAATAAGCATCACACAATGGGCACTTTTGCATGCAGCCCTTGCATTACTCCAGTAGAAACACTCTCAAACTCTATGCAAAGTCTTCATGATTCCGAAGGGGCCTCCTATAGGACTGCTATATAGTTCTTTAAAGATGTCTGGGATCTTAGAAATATGAACTGCCATCAGAAAGCCTTTCCATCATCCGATTCAAATTTATGGTACAGGATGCCATTTCGTACATGGAGTGAGTCTCAGAAAGCCCAATATTGCTTTGTTGTAAGATCCAATATTGCTACAGATCAGAATGTCCTGCGCCAAGTACGTTTCCTTGTTTGATGAAGCCATTAAGTCAATTATATATCTAACGTCGTCATCTTTCAACTGGCCTTTCCTGACTTCTTTCTCCATGAGTCTCAATCAGCTGCATGAGACCTGATTAAACAGCTGGTATTTCATTTTGACTATCAGCAGCTTTCTGAGTAGGTTCTTCTAGACAGGTTCTAGTTTCTATGTGATGATCCCTTCCGATGATGGATAGTGATGTCATATTCCTGAATTCTCTAGAACCCATCTGGCTATTTGGACTTTGGGATTCTTGAAATTTAAAAGCTAGATCAACAATGCCTGATCTGTGCAGAGCAGGAAATTTTTGCTGTAGAGATGATGGAAATGTTCTACAGCTTTAACTATTGAGGCCAAATCTTTTCTGCTGACACAGTAAATCTTCTTTGATTTAGATACTCTTGCTCCAGTATGCTATGACATGTGATTGATAGGCTATTGCTTTTGGATAAAACAGCACGGATACTCTTGTTGATCACATCTGTGTCAAGAATAAATGGTTTGTCGACATGAGGATATGTCAGAATTGTCGCAGATGTTAAAGCCTCCTTCAGTTTGTTAAATGCATCCTCACATTATTTTGTCCACGAGAACTTTTGCTTGCTCTCTTCTGTCAACTTGTTAAGGGGTGTTGCGATGAAAGAAAACTCTTTCACAAACCTGCTATAGTAGGTGCAAAGCCCAAGGAAATCTCTTAGCTAATGGATATTTTCAGGGTGTATCCAATCTGTAACTGCTGACACTTTTTCTGGATCCATATACACAAATTTGGCAGAGATGATATGTCCAAGGTAAATCACTTCCTGTTTGAACAATTTACATTTGGTGGGACTTAGTTTTAGATCTGCTTCCTTCAATTTCTGAAGTACCTCCCCTAATATCTTCTAAATGCTGTTCAAAAGTTTTCCCACCAATGATAATGTCATTGAGGTATATCAGACAGACTTCATAAGAAGGATCTCTTAACACAGTTTCCAAGAGGTATTCGAATATTGTCGACACATTATGTAATCAAACAACATAACATTGAACTGCCAAAGTCCTTGTCCATTAGCAAAAGCTGTGTTTCTCAGTTATCAGGATGTATTTCTACCTGCCAATGTCCACTTTTTAAATTAAGCATCAAAAACCACTTGCTTCCAGAAACTGTGTCCGGAATATTATCAATTCTAGAAAGAGGGTAACTGTTTTTCTTCGTAACCTCGTTCAACCAGAGTTAGTCAATACAAAATCTAGTTAAACCATCATTCTTTTTAACCAGAATGATGGGAGAGGCCCACAAACTTACTGAAGGCTTGATTATGTTGGTTTCTTGCATGTCTTTTAGAAGTATTCCTATCTAGTCCTGTTTACGCAATTGGTTGACATCTTGGATGTTGCTTGACTGGTGAATGATCCCCTGTAACAATTCTATGCTGTGTCAATTTGGTTCTACCTGTGTCAGAAAATGAGTGGGGAAAAAACATCTTGAAATTCTTGAATGACACATTCGGCAGCACTCCCCTCTTCATCGCTTAGTTGTGCATTCTGCAATAACCCCGATGTTAGGCAGCCCGAAGATACAGATTCTGGAAGGTTACTGTTTCATTTTTCCACAGGTCACTGGAGTACATGTTGGAACCACTTCACCTTTCCTATGACTTCCACTTTATCAGTTACATTGGCAACTTCAGAAAACAGTTATTGTTTTTAGTTAGCTAGAAAATAATCTCCATAACAAAGACAAAAAACATGAGAATGCACTGTTATTGACTGATAATGCATAAAACATTTTATTTATCTTTGATAGTGTGTGTGTGTGATTATGGCAAAGCCTCAAGGGCTATTTGCTTAAGGGGAGGGATGCCTTCGTGGAGGACTTTCTAAGGAAAACTGGCTCATATACACATTACACATGGGGAAAACCACGAAAACTCCCATGCAGCCAGCCAGTTCGCGGGATTTGGACCAAACTACCAGTATCTTTGATAGTATAGAAATATACTGATCATCTGTGTAACAAAGTGAATCATTTAGAAAGCTTTTTTTATCTCCACTTCTTAATGATAGTGTACAACAAGTGTTAGTTTACAGCATAAGCCTATAAATAAATAAACACTTCAAACACTGTACATAATTATATCAAATTAATAATATAAAAGATTGCATACACATTGAAAATTTTTAAGTTTTACTTCTTGTGTATATTCAAAATAAAGTCCAAATGGTAATAAAATATTGCTTTATTCTACCTGTTTCGGTTTTTTTTTAAACAATAATATATTTCTCTATTATTATGACATTTTTTCTCTTCATACCACTCTACACTGAAAAGAAATGCTGGGGGGAGGGGGGAAAGACAGCTTTTAAAATTGAAATCCTTTCCAAAATGAGTTTTAAATTTCGATCAGAAATTGCACAAATTTTGTTTTATGAATTGATAACACTGGATACAATTTTGATTTAAGAAGCAAACCCAAATGTATTGCATTAGCGTTTCTGGTGGAAAAAAAAATTAAAAGTAAACTTTTTTAAAGTACTAGCCGGCAATCTGTAGTTTTCAAAATACAACATTAATTATTTGTAATGTAGACTTAATTATTTTTTCAGATATACAAGTGACTTTCAGTGTCTTAGGGACATGATGGCCTAATATACACATATATATTCTCTGCCAGCTTTTGTTTCATATAACCTAATAATATTTTTTATAATACGTGAATAAACATACTGATGACTACCAACTGAGCAATAATTCAAACATATATGCTAAAAAGCTTGAATGCATTTTTACAGTAATTTTCATTCATTTAATACTGAATTTAAAGTAATATTGCTTCTGTGTACTTTTCAGCAGAACTTAAATTCAAAATTCTTTATCTTTGATATGGTAGATGATAACTATATATCAGGAAGGGGCAGCCAGTTAATTGCGATTCACTGGTTGATCTCGAAGCCATTTTTGGTCAATCACAGTCGACAGAAGCTTTCTACTCTCAAATGCAACTTAGCCATAACTCACAGAAACATAAAGGTGGTCCCTATAGTATCAGACAATTTGCCTCACAATCTACCTTCCACGTCAGCTGTTGAGAGAGTAGGGAAGCAGTATCATACATCACCTGTTAACAGCACGCTGTATAATATGCCCTCTACTGGGCTACTTGGCATGTGTTCTTTTAATCCTTGGTCTAGCAACACATTAAGTTGGCATCCTGAAGTCTTTGTTTAGCATTTAATATTCACTGTAATGGTAATAACGCATTAGCGTTTCTGGAAAAAGTGTCAATTTTTCTTAACATTATTGCTGTGCAAAAAATTTAAGTACCTTCTTTCTATGTTTTAAATTACAATTGTGCACTTGTAGTCTTCTTTCACATTTTATTACCAATTAAAATGAGCAGTAAACCCAAAATAATTGAAGACTTATTAAAAATGTCTACTTGTATTCTTCTTTCACATTTTATTACCAATTAAAATAAGCAGTAAACCAAAATAAATTGAAGACATATTATTTTCATAAAGAATGAGGACTTGATTACTTTTTTTACAATGAAAAATGATAAATGTTGTAGTTTAATATGCAATATCGCCATACCTTCTTACTGAAAACGGTCATCTGGAGAGACATTTTAAAATTCTATGTAACTAATACCAAGCACATTATCCACAAAACAGAGATTTGAGAAAAATAAAATTCCCGATTTTACGGCTCACTTAAGGGCTCTCCAACTTTTTTTTTTTTTTTTTTTTTTTTTTTTTTAAGGCTTTTGTCGAAATCATGTGCAGTTACTATGCATCATTTAAAGTAAGCAGTATTATAACAAAAAAGTGTACATATTTTTTGACGGGAGACTTAAGAAGGAAACTTTTTGGAAATGTCAGATTCACTTTAATGATTTTTTAAAAACAAGAATTAAATTTTTTGCTGCAACTCTACAGTTGTCTTGAAATACTGTGATGCTCATTGAGAACATGACTGAAAATATAAGAGAATAGTTGTACAATGATATTAACAGATATTCTTGTTTTTTCTATTCAATTCAATGAAGCTACAAATACAAATAACACAGCACTTATTCTTATGGTTAACACAACACTTATTCTTATGGCAATAACACAACACTTATTCTTATGGCTTATTTTTATTCTTATGGTTTTTATAGGCATGTAAAGAAACTTTCTTACATCTAAAGTAAAATTGTTAGTTACGAAAGAAAGGTCTAGATGTGTAGGTACATTCAATGCTCTTTTAAAATTTTTTCTTGCTGAATTGAAACTACCTATTTTTATATTAATTTCAAAAACAACAGATGGAGCAGAAGCACAACAGGCCACCTTAACAATATTATAAATCCCAAAATGATGGCAAATGATGACGAATTCCCAGGCGTTTTGAGCTACCACTGCATAATTCACTAACACTGTTAGCCAGCTAAAGATTAAATACAAAAGAAATAATGGACCTAGCATTCAAAATTGTTAATTCCATTCAAGGAAGTTCCCTTGAGTGATGACTCTTCCAAATGCAACTTGATGAAGAATAACCAGAATTATTATTACATATCGATGCGAGGTGGCTAAGTAGAAAATAAATTCCTGCTCTGATTTTGTGATTTATTTAAGTGAATCAAAATTCTGCTTCAGCAGCAAGATCCAGAATGTGCAAATTTAAATGATGAAACTAGCTCAGTGATTTAGCATTTCTTACCGATTTTACATTAAAACTAAATTATTTAAACTGAGAATTGCAAGGAGAAAGCTGGACAATAAATGAAATGATCAGTACCAATAATATATACAAAACAAAATTTATTACGCTAAAGAGGATCTTCAACAAACAATTTGAATCACTTTCCAAATATATCTGATCAAGTTGAAGACCAAAAAAATTTTAATTATAACACTGAAAAATATACATTGCAAAAATTAAAAAGACGACTGAGATTCTTGAAGTCAGATTTCAAGATTTTGAAAACGTTATTGCACATTATGTCTTTTCCTTTTGAAAAGAACTTAAAGCAAAATATATTGCCACAAAAATTTTTGACACGTGTATATATATAAAATTTAAAAAAGCGCATTCAACTTTTTTTTAGAACTCGACTGTGAAAACATTAAAAGATGAGATATACAAGTTGCCCTTCCACTTTCTATCAGTTAGTTGGTATTTTAGAATTTATATTCACTCACACACAATGCTTCTAAGTGACAGCTCTAAGTGATGATGAAATTTTGCTCCTGTGAGCTTTATTGTGAACAGCATTTTAAAAACTATCTCACAGGTACTGGGACTAGTGAGGGTAGAAAAACTTTGATCAAACTCATTTTCTTGAAGTACCACAGACTTAAATGATAAATAAGCCAAGGTCCATCATAAGTAGAATGTATGAATTATAAACAGCTTTGATGGTACAAGTAAGTATATTTTGGCACTGAAGAATTCATCTTTTGCCATTCTGTGTTTTATAGGTGGCAGAGATGAGTTTAATAAATGGCAGTTTCTCTCTTGATCAGTATACATTTATTTTGGTTCAAGAAATTTAAACATAATATACAGCTGAATAAACTTGTTTTATATGCAAAAGGTACTATATATAGTCATTAACATTCACATTATACAAACACACAAATATGTGCACAAAAATAAGGAATACATACTTGATACGATTTGTAGAAGAAAAGGCAAAAATTTGTAAAGACTACCCAAAGCTTTTGCCATCCACTGCTATTTTTGAACTTTCTCAGAAGATAACCACTGAGATAATTCTATATAAAAAAACATAAAATGGTTACAAATTCAAATAACTGCAAATAATATACACTATGCAAATAATATATGCAATTAAAATTCACAGGATATTGTAGATATTTCCTCATCTTTCAGGGTTATGCTGTCTGAAAGTTCTGATGAAATGTAGCAGCAATTTGTTTCCATTCCAACAGAGACACCAAGAACAATTAACAAGTGGGTAGTTTAATGGGTGTACGATATGAAAAACATCCTAACTTATCCCACAGATATTCAGTGGGTCAGTGAATCAGCTAGTTAGGTACATCTATCAGCCACAAATATAAAGATTCTGCTTTAAAGTGCTGATATGGCCTGGAAGGTATGTTATTGTCTTTCACACAGCCTAGGTGATATCCTAATCATAATATCTGAGAAGAATCATAATATCTGAGAGATATGTAATCTGAGAACACAATATTTCTCTCTGAAACTTGATGAAGAAAATGAGCTAATTCATTTTCTTCATCGAAATTTCCATCATCAATTACCAAAACATCTAGCATTTCACCAGAAGATTTCACAGGTTTTGGCAACCAGTCAAAACCAGCATAACAGAACTGATTTAATGCCCTCCCCGTCTTGGTAAATTCATTACTACTTTAGAAAAGTGCATTAACACTTTAATGTGCAATATAAATGCATTAATACTTTGGAAAAGCATATCTTTTCCTAAGTACTTTAGGAAAGTGCATTAACACTTTAATGTGCAATGTAAATGCATTAATACTTTCGCAAAGCATATCTTTTTTGAAGTACTTTGCAATCAATTAGTATGTTAGAAAAGTAAAATACTGGAAAAAAAATTCAGTTGTAACATTTTATTTTCATCAAGTGCACAAATGATTATTTCAAAAGCAATTTCTTACAACTACTTATGAAAACTATACATGACTCTGATTGAAAGAGAGAAAACACAATATTTGGGACCAAGAGCTTCATTCTTATGGATTTCGGACCTTTGATTTCAGGGTGGGCAGTGAATGTACAACTGACACTTTACTGTTTTTTGAGCATTTGTCTGTCCCAAAAACCACAGCTGTGAGTCCTGAAATCTTAAAAACCGGGAAAAACCAGGAGGTTTTCATAATGTGTACACCATTTCAAAGGAACTCCAAATTGGTTTTAATTTTCTTTACAGTGTATGGTTCAAGTTATTGGATTACTCGCAATTCAGTTCTGATACAAAATATATTAGCATTTAATTGGATATTCTAAATTTTACGATCTTAGGCTACTTTCATTTTTTAAAAATTTTCTTACACTTTGTAGAGCATCTTATGTTAACTAACCAGTTATTAAACTTTCAGTCTTTGTTATAACTTCTCCTTTCCATATTCTTTACCAGAACGTAAGTTAGCTGATGAGCATTTAATCTGAGGTTTTGGGATTTGAGATAGAGAATGTTTCTGGTATCCTATGTGTGCTACATGGTTAATTCCTACCAGCTCTAACAGCTGTAATTATTCTGCTTTGTGGTTTCTCATTGTCAGCACTTAAAATCTGATGTGCCAGTAAAAGTTTTTGAACCAGCTTACAGTTAAGTATTTAATTGTGTAGTCTTTAACTGCTGTTCAACATTTAATTTAAATTTGACTGTTCCATTTACTTGCATCACACCAAGTTGTTACTGTAGCACAAGAATATTCACTAATATTCCTAGTTCTGTTTTAATAATATTGTTATTATAACCTTTATAAATTATAAAAGGTTAATATAACTTTGCCACTGTTCTCAGATACAGCAATGACTCCTTTCATGTCTGTTAGGGTTGTAGGACTTAAAGTAGTATTACCAGATTAGTGAACCCTATAAGAAGCACTCAAACAAATTATCGATCATGCTGCAAGGACAAGCAACATTTAGTCTGGCCTACCCAAGATTTCAAACTCCACAGGCATCAGGAAGTCAAGTGGAAGGCTTCATGTTCATCTTAGACATCATGCGGGCATCAATGAGACCAAAGAGTACTTTCGAGGGTGGAACTTTGGTAGTGGCCTTTTTCGAACAGTTAGAGAAATACCTTCTACTTTATCTAGTTGATCAATTACTGTTAGGTGAACCAAGCAGTGACAATTGTTCAAAGTATTTAAAACTGCTTTCGTGAAAGCATTCCACATGATGGAAAATACAGAAAAACTAGAACTAAGGCTTTTTGGTAGATATCAAACTAAAACAGAAGAGTTGACTGATTTTTATATTGAAGAAAATACAAGTTATGAACTTATATGGAAAAAAACTTGATGTGGAGGTTAAACAAATAATATTGCCTCAAATTCAGGATTTTGTTCAATTATGAAACCCGGGTATACTAGATAAGTTATTTGAGTTAGTGGTGCAGTTAGAAAGTAGAGAAAGTAGGCAAGTGTCAATGAATAGACTTACAGTGGGATATGAGAAAGTGGATATTTTCATAGTGAAAGGAAGCTCAAAATTTAACAGCAATAGATGTTCGAAAAGCCGAAAGAAATTTTCACCTGCTAATGGCAACTGCCAAAATAAATCACAAAAAAGAGGAAACTAGGAGAAGATACTAAGATTTTAAACTAGTAAAAAATACTGAACTATAAGTGGCACAGTCAACCCAGAAAAAAGAAAATCTCTAATATTCAATTAAATAAGGTGTTGATAAAAATTTTTCTCTCCCAGTAATTCAGATTCTGTCAAACCGCATACCAACAGATATATTATTGGATAGGAGGGCGCAAAGTAATTTTTGGAAGAAAGCCTTTTTAAGAATTTAAAATGGTATAGCGCTTTTGGTGTCCCATGAACAAGAATGACAGCTGCCCAAGCAAGCAGTGTGAAAGAAAAGAGAAACTAACCTTAAACGTGCAGATGAAAAATAAACACAAGAAGCTGGATTCTTTTTGTAGTGAAAAGTCTACAGGTTAACGTAATTTTGGAAATGGTTCTTTTTTAAAGACTGCAGAGGCAAATATTAATTTTCAGGAAGCTACTGTGTAGTTGGAAATGAACAAGCCAGTGGAAAAAGAAGTCTAGCTCACAACTTTGGACTTGAAAGAACTGAACACAGATGAGAGAGCAAAGCTGGAACAACAGGTAAGACAATTTTTAGATTTACTTGATGATGACATAGGGTTGATGGTAAATCCCACAACAGACACTGGAGATCTGCCCTTGCCTAAGAAAACCTTACCGCTGTGATAAGATCAAAGAAGAAATTGCAGAAATAGTGAAGAATAAAATTACTGTCATCATAAATAGCTGTTAAGTTAGCCCACTAATGCTATGTCAAAAGAAAAATAAACACCTACCTATGAGTTGAAAATCCATAGGTATTTAATAGAAAACTAAAGAGTATTGGAAAATATTTCATACACTCCTTACCAATAATTGAGGAAATTATTAGAAGACTCAAATCAACAAAATACATAATGATGCTAGACATCACCTCTAGATACTTAGATATGTGTGAAACCAGAGCATGTGCCAAAAACTACATTCATTACCAAGTCAAGAGTTTATGCTTTTCATAGAATGCTGTTTACGTTATGTCGGGTCCTCGCTATGATTCAAAGAGCCACGGATATAATACTAAGATGTGTCCTTGGAAAATCTACAAGTATTTTAACTTAGATGACAAAATAATCATTAACAATAAAATTGATGAATATATTCAAAATTGATGAATATATTCAAAATTTTTATTTCTAAAGAAGCAAGTCAAAAGGTGATTGCAACCGAATGTAGATTCGCGGCTAAAGAACTTCATTACCTGGGCTATAAGATATCTCAAAGGGCAACTGAAATGAAAGATTACAAAATCATAGTGATAGAAGTTTTCCACCGCCTAAAATACAGCAAAGAAGTTAGCATCAATTTAAAAGTTGTGCTCCTGTTATAGAGCTTTAATCTAAGATTTTCCTAACAGAGCAGAGCACTATTACATTTGAAAAGAAAAAAAAAAAAAAAAAAGATAAGTTCACTTGGTCAGTAGAAGCAAACGAAGCATTTGACAGACTTAAAGCGGCATTAATCCAAGCTCCCATCTTGAAATTTCCTGATGCGGATGGCAAATTAGAAATCCCTGCAGATCCTCTAGAATTTTGCAGTGGGTGCATGTTTATTCAAGATGGACAGCCAGTTCCATATTTTAGTAAGACACTTAACTCAAAGAAATTATACTGCTATTGAAAAGGATACATTAGAGTCCTTTTGATGGTACAGAAGTTTCTAATTTACTTTGAGAAAGGCTTGGTTACCGCGTATACAGATTATGCAGCTATCATTCATTCATTCATTCATTTTCTGGGAAGAGTTTATCATTTAGACTCGTAAATTGCAAGAAAATAATATTAAAACATCCTTCTGGGAAAGAAAAAATTATAGTAGATGCTTTATTAAGATTTAAACTAGATGATGAGAGGAAAGAAGTAAAAATTAACTTAAAAAATTTTATGATTCTCAAGAAACAATTATGGCAGAACTACAAATAGACCAGAATTTAAAATTATTTATGCATATTTGAAAGATCGTTACCACTTTGAACACCACAACATGACAGGTATTCGTAACAGAACAGCAAATTATGAAATAATTGACAACCCCTTGATCTACTCCAAAGTAACAAATAATAATAATGAATTACAACCAGTTATCCCAGCCAGTTTAAGTAGTTTACAGAAATTGCATGATCCACCAATTTCATGCCATCTCAGCATAAGAAAATAGTCCAGAGAGTATGGGAATTGGTTTATTTTCCATAGATACAAAAATACTGAATATGTCAAGTCCTGTAACAATTGTCAGTAATTTATCGATATTAATTATAGACCAGCCAGGTACATAAATAGCATAAAAGCTATTTTTAATTAATAAGAATTGTTTTATTAGGTTCCTAATCACATAGTGAAAAAAAAAAAAAAAAACTAGATGTTTGCTTGTAATTGCTGATTATTTCTTAAAGTGGGTAGACATTATTCTCCTCAAAAAGACTTTCCACCAAACTTTTTTC